GGGCTTCTGTCTTCTTTCCAGAAAAATTTTTTTTTCCGGGGGGGGGGGGATGACACTACAATTCGTGCTCTTCCACTCGGGGGCTGCGGGCAGCTCCGCTCAGCCCCTGCTCCAGGCCGCCCCTCCCACCCCAGAAGCCCAGGTTGCGCTTCAGTGAGGTCAGCACCTGTACCTGGAGGTTGGAGACAGGGGCGGGGCTGGCAGCCAAGGCGGCCGTCGCCATGGTGCGTGTCAGCAGCGGATTGGGCGGGTTGCTGCTGGGAGGGTGCGTGGCCTTCCAATAGGCTTCCAGGTACTCGGCCAGGTGCTCGCAGGCATCTTCTAACTGGTTCTCGTCCAGGATGATGTCAAACAGTTCCTGCAGGGACAGGGATGGGAAGGGCAGGAAAAGGTGCAGAAAAGGGCAACTGAGACGATTAAGGGGATGGAACGCCTTCCCTACGAAGACAGGTTGAAGAGTCAGGGCTCTCTAGCTTGGAGGAACGACGGCTGAGGGGTGACATGACAGAGGCTCACAAAGTTATGCATGGAACAGAGAAGGAAGAGAAAGAAGTCCTTTTCTCCCTTTCTCACAAGACAAGAACCCGTGGGCACTCCATGGCAGTGATGAGCAGTCGGGTTAGAACAGATAAAAGGAAGGACTTCTTCACCCAAAGACTAATTAACCCGTGGAAATCATTGCTGCAGGAAGTGGTGGCGGCTAGTGGCACAGACAGCTTCAAGAGGGGTTTGGGTAAACATCTGGAGCAGAGCTCCATCAGGGGCTATTACCCAAAGGTAAAGATGGAACACGCTGTCTGGGGCAGTGACGCTCTGCATTCTTGGTCCTTGGGGGGGCCACGGTGGGAGGGCTTCTGGAGTTCTGGCCCCACTGGTGGACCTCCTGATGGCACCTGGGTTTTGGCCACTGTGTGACACAGAGTGTTGGACTGGAGGGGCCATTGACCTGATCCAACATGGCTTGTCTTATGTTCTTATCAGCTTCAAGCGGGGACTGGATAAACATACGGAGCAGAAGTCCATCAGTGGCTATTAGCCACAAAGTATAGATGGAACACTCTGTCTCGGGCAGGGATGCTCTGTATTCTTGGTGCTTGGGGAGCCACAGTGGGAGGGCTTCTGGAGTTCTGGCCCTGCCAGTGGACCTGGGCTTTGGCCACTGGGTGACACAGAGTGTTGGACTGGAGGGGCCAGTGGCCTGATCCAACATGGTTTCTCTTTTGTCCTTATAGCATGAGGGAGAAAAGTCACAGACTGTTAGGAATGGGGGGTTAGGAAAGAAAGGAGCTGGTCTTATTCCAAGGATGGCCATCAGTGGGTTCTTAACGTCTCTTTAGCACTGTATTTGGTGCTCTCCCAAACAAAGAAACGGCACTCTTCCCTCACCTGAGCTGACTCAGTGAAGAGAGGGCAGCAAGCTGATTTTAGCAACGGCATTCTCAGGGGTCATTTCCTGCCGGAGCGCCCCAGAGCACCACTCCGGCAGTAAGGAGCCCAGGCCCCGCCCCCTGCCCGCGGAGAGACTCGGGGAGGGGGATTTAGATGCCTGGGTTCCCTGCCTGATCTTCTCCTGGCATGTCTGCCTCCCTGCCCTTCCTCCTGAGCCTCTCCACTTTTCCGGAGAGACTCAGGGAAGGGGGGGGGATTTAAACTCATTCACATATGCCCTAACTCCTTTTAAACATGCCTGCCCTTTGTCAGGGAGTGTGGCATATGCAAACGAGTTAGGCAAATGAGATCCCGCACCTCTTTCTCTAGGAAATGACCCCTTGGGCATTGCCCAAGGTGCAGAGTGGCCAGCCGGAGAGCTTCAGAGTGTCCAGCAAGGGACTCCGGACAGGGCAGTAGGACTCTGGTGGGGGCCAGACTGGCGGCACGGTTGGTAAAGGGGCAGGGCAGAATGCGAAACGCACCAGGTGGCCAGGAATATCACGAGGAGGCAGGAAAACAGAGTCCAGAGCAGCAGGAGCCAATGCCTGGGA